CTCCCAGAATTCCCCAGCCAGCCTGGCTGGCTGGGGAATTCTGGGAGTTGAAGTCCACTCAGCTTAAAGTTGCTGAGGTTGAGAAACACTGCCCTAAGGGCTAGAAACTTGGCCCCATTTTAGAAAGAGAGGCACAGAGACCTGTGTTGTGACTCTGGTCTCTTCCCAAGAGCCTTGCTTTGGACCTTTACCACTCGCCACAGTTGTCAGCTTGTCAGCGTTGTGATTTGGGCAGGCGTTCAACCAGTTGCCTCGTTGTGGTTGGGGTGCAACGATCCCACCCACTTCTTGCGGCACCTGCTTCTCCCATTTTTCAAAAGCTTCCAGCGGTGCCAGAAAGCCAAAGGTCTTGACATGACGCGGTCAACCACCGACTCCGAGGTGGACGTCCCCGATGCCCTGCGTTCATTTCTCTTGGAATCCATCCGGGGCCAAGTGACTTGAAAACGGTGCACGTGGCTTCGTTTTCTGCAGCTTCCGCGTGATTCTTTCTGACGTCTATGGAAGACGTCAGATCCTTAACCGAGTTATTTGTTTTTCCTTCTAGAGGCGCTCTTTGGTCGTCCTCCCTTTGCCTCCAAATCGTTTGCTGAGTTGGAGGAGAAGATCCGCAGCAGTCAACCTATTGAGGTAACCGCGCCAGGCTGCAGATGGAGACTCAAAGGGAACGGATGCCGGTGTGATTTGCCAGTGCAGAAGTCGAATCTTTCTTCAAGCCTCGCTCACCAGAAACCTGTTTTAGGACCTCTGGGGTTTTTTTTGCACCTTTCCTATCTCAGCATGACCTAAATGCACGCTGCTGATTTTGTTCAGAAGGAGCTTTGGGAGTTCAAGAAAAAGGGGTTCAGGAGACATGGGGGATCTCTTCTGCTTTAGGTGCTGAGTTCCTTAAGATAAACACCTCCTTTTTGGGGGGTTCAGCTGACGCTGTCCAGCACTCTGGACAAAACAACAATACTATGTCATAAAATTCTGAAAAAGGATGTCTCTAGTGATAACAGTACCCATCATCTAGGGAGGCCTAGAACTCGCCATCTCCTGGTTTCTAGACCAGCACCTTCACCATTGCACCAAACTGGTTCTTTATGCCTTTTTTTTATTTTTATTTTTTTTATTTTTTTTCTATTCTATTCTATTCTATTCTATTCTATTCTATTCTATTCTATTCTATTCTATTCTATTCTATT